TAAGAACATGCTTTATGTATCTGGGTGCTCCTGTACTGGGTGCATACATATTTAGGATAGTTAGTTCTTGTTGCATTGATCCCTTTACTATTATGTAATGCCCTTCTTCTTGTCTTTTGATCTTTGTTGGTTTAAAGCCTGTTCTATCAGAGACTGGGATTGCAACCCTTGCTTTTTTTTTTTTTTTTTTTTGCTTTCCATTTGCTTGGTAAATATGCCTCTATCTCTTTATTTTGAGCCTATGTGTGTCTTTGCACATGAGATGAGTCTCCTGAATACAGCACAGTGATGGGTCTTGACCCTTTATCCAATTTGCCAGTCTGTGTCTTTTAATTGGGGCATATAGCCCATTTACATTTAAGGTTAATATTGTTATGTATAAATGTGATCTTGCCATTATGATGCTAGCTGATTGTTTTGCCTGTTAGTTGATGCAGTTTCTCCATAGCTTTGATGGTCTTTACAATTTGGTATGTTTTTGCAGTGGTTGATACTGATTGTTCCTTTCCATATTTGGTGCTTCCTTCAGGACCTCTTGTAAGGCAGGCCTGGTGGTGAAAAATCTTCAAGCAGTTGCTTGTCCATAAAGAATTTTATTTCTCCTTTGCTCATGAAGCTTAGTTTGGCTGGATATGAAATTTTGGGTTGAAAATTCTTTTATTTAAGGATGTTGAATATTGGTCCCCACTCTCTTCTGGCTAGCAGGGTTTCTGCTGAGAGATCCACTGTTAGTCTGATGGGCTTCCCTTTGTGGGTAACCTGACCTTTCTCTGGCTGTACTTACCATTTTTTTCATTCATTTCAACCCTGGTGAATCTAATAATTATGTGCCTTGGAGTTGCTCTTCTCGAGGAATATCTTTGTGATGTTCTCTGTATTTCCTGGATTTGAATGTTGGCCTGCCTTGCTAGGTTGGGGAAGTTCTCCTGGATAATATCCTGAAGAGTGTTTTCCAACTTGGTTTCATTCTCCCCATCACTTTCAGGTACACCAATCAAACGTAGATTTGGTCTTTTCACATAATCCCATACTTCTTAGAGGCTTTGTGTTCATTTCTTTTCACTCTTTTTTCTCTAATCTTGTCTTCTCGCTTTATTTCATTGAGTTGATCTTCAATCTCTGATATCATTTCTTCTGCTTGATTGATTTGGCTATTGAAACTTGTGTATACTTCACAAAGTTCTCGTGCTGTGGTTTTCAGCTCCATCAGGTCCTTTACATTCTTCTCTACACTAGTTATTCTAGTTAGCGTTTTGTCTAACCTTTTTTCCAGGTTCTTAGCTTCCTTGCATTGGGTTAGAACATGCTCCTTTAGCTCAGAGAAGTTTGTTATTACCCACCTTCTGAAGCCTGCTTCTGTCAGTTCATCAAACTCATTCTCTGTCCAGTTTTGTTCCCTTGCTGGTGAGGAGTTGTGATCCCTTGGAGGAGAAGAAGTGTTCTGGTTTTTGGAATTTTCAGCCTTTTTACCCTGGTTTCTTCCCATCTTTGTGGATTTATTTACCTTTGGTCTTTAAAGTTGGTAACCTTTGGATGGGGTCTTTGAATGGGCCTTCTTTCTGTTGATATTGAAACTATTTCTTTCTGTTTGTTAGTTTTCCTTTTAACAGTCAGGCCTCTCTGCTGCAGGTCTGCTGGAGTTTGCTGTAGATCCACTCAAGACCCTGCTTGCCTGGGAATCACCAGCAGGGGCTGCAGAACAGCAAAGATTGCTGTCTGTTCCTTTCACTGGCAGCTTTGTCCCAGAAGGGTACCTGCCAGATGCCAGCCAGAGTTCTCCTGTATGAGGTGTCTGTCGGCCCCTGCTGGGAGGTGTCTCCCAGTCAGGATAAATGGGGGTTAGGGAGCCACTTGAGGAGGCAGTCTGACCCTTTTCAGAGCTTGAACGCTGTGTTGGGAAATCTACTGCTCTCTTCAGAGCTGCCAGGCAGGGACATTTAAGCCTGCTGAAGTTGTACCTACCACTGCCCCTTTTCCCAGGTGCTCTTTCCCAGGAAGGTGGAGACTTTATTCATAACTCCCTGGCAGGCTGCTGCCTTTTTTCAGAGATGCCTTGCCCAGCAAGGAGGGAGTCTAGTGACACGGTCTGCCTGCAGAGCCCTTGCTGAGCTGCCGTGGGCTCCGCTCTGCTTGAATATCCTGGTAAATTTCATCCTCGACTCTTCTCTTTCTCTCACATCTTGTCTGTCACAAAATCCTGTTGGCTCTACCTTCAAAATATCTCTAAAATCTGATCATATCTTACCATTTACATTGCAACCACTTAGGCCCAAGTTCGCATCATCTCTCCCTTGGATTATGATAGCAGCCCTCAGTCTTCCTATTTTTGTGCCTGTCTCCAATTGGCATATTTTCAACAGCCAGAGTGATTTTGTAAAAAACCTAAGTGAGAGCATGTTACTCCTCTGCTTGAAACACTCCAGTGCCTTTCTTCCCCATTCAAAAGAAAAGCCAAAGTTCTTTCTGTAACTTACCAAGCCCAACAAGGTAGGGCATCATTTCATTCCAGTGACATTAACCTTCTTGCTGTCCTTTGAACATTCCAAGCATGTCCCTGCCTCGGGGCTTTGTACTTGCTATTTTCTTTATGTGGGATTTCTTCCCCTAGATATTGACATAATAAACTTCCTTATCTTCTTCAGGTCTTTATTCAGATGTCATTTTGTAGAGAAGGCTTTTCTAGCTGTCCTACCTAAAATATTAATTCACCTCCCATTCCTGACATTTTATATCTCCCTCTTTCTGTTTTGTGTTTTCTTAGCACTTATCTCCATATATATATAAAAATTATATAATAGGTAGGCATATGTGTGTGTTTATAGTTGTGGTGGCTAGTCTCCAAGGTGGCCCCCAGCAAGTTTAACCTGTTGGTATTCAAGCTTCCTCCCATATTGAATAGAGAATACCTGCATAGCCAATATGAGAGTTTAGAAAAGATCGCATGTAACTTCAAAGCTAGGTCATAAAAGACATTGTGGCTTTTGCCTTGCTCTCTCTTAGGCCACTTATTCTAAAGGAAGGGAGCTGTCACGTTGTGCAAACACTCAGGAAGCTCTATGGAGAGGTCCCTGTACGGAGGAAATGAAGCCTCCTGCCAACGTCAGCATCTAGTCATCCATGTGAGTGAGTCATCTTGAAAGCAGATCCTCCAGGCCTGGTGCAGTGTCTCATGCCTGTAATCCCAGCACTTTGGGAGGCAGAGGTGGGTGGATCAACTGAGGTCAGGAGTTTGAGATCAGCTTTGCCAACATGGTAAAACCCTGTCTGTACTAATAATATAAAAATTAGCTGGGTGTGGTGGCACCCGCCTGTAATCCCAGCTACTCGGGAGGCTGAAGCAGGAGAATCACTTGAACCTGGGAGGTGGAAGATGCAATGAGCCAAGATTGTGCCATTGCACTCTCTAGCCTGGGCGACAAGAGCAAAACTCCATCTTCAAAAACAAAAAAAGAAAGAAAGTAGATCCTCCAGTACTAGTCAAGCCTTCAGATGACTATAGTCCTAGTCACAGTGTCTTAACTGCAATCTCCTGGCAAACCCTGAGCTACATCCCAGGTAAGCTGCTCCCAAATTCCTAACACAAAAATTTGGAAAGAAAAAACACTGCAAATTAAACCATGACTTACAATGAATTTGAAAGTCATCTCACTTTGAAAGCTGTGGGGATAAAGGACATTTTTGAATTGATGAAATATGACCATGAAGAGTATTGTTGTGATTTTTGTTGTGTTCTTTATATAATCTCCATAAAGGCAGAAATTTTTGTTGGTTCAGTTCGCTGCTATAGACCTAATGCCTAGAAAAGCGCCCAGCATATGAGATAAAATTAATAGTTGCTAGATGAATAAATAAAAATTAAGTTGCACAAGGCATATTATTTATATGTGGTAGAGCTGGGATTCAAAGCCAGGTCTTTGATTCTAACGCGTATGCTCTTTTTATTGCCTGTTCTTCAGGACATAGTCTAGTATCAAGGTCCTCATCTTACTTTTGTTCAATTTTCCTCTTTTACTAAAAAGACAGATCTGGCTGGGCAAGGTGGCTCATGCATGTAATCCCAGCACTTTGGGAGGCCGAGGCAGGCAGATCACCTGAGGTCAGTTGGGAGTTCAAGAGCAGCCTAACCAACATGGATGAACCCTGTCTCTACTAAAAATACAAAATAGGTCTTGTGGCACATGCCTGCAATCCCAACTACTTGGGAGGCTGAAGCAAGAGAATCGCTTGAACCTGGGAGGTGGAGGTTGCAGTGAGCTGAGATCATGCCATTGGACTCCAGCCTGGGTAACAAGAACGAAACTCTGTCTCAAAAACAAACAAATAAACAAACAAACAAAAACCCTTGAAACTTATGGTTTTAATTCTCATTTATATTACATTTTTTTTTTTTTTAGAGGGAGTCTCGCTCTGTTGCCCAGGCTGGAGTGCAGTAGCATGATCTCAGCTCACTGCAACTTCTGCTTCCTGGGTTCAAGTGATTCTCCTGCCTTGGTCTCCCAAGTAGCTGGGATTATAGGTACCAGCCACCATGCTTGGCTAATTTTTTTTTTTTTTTTAATACAGGTGGGGTTTCAACAGGCTGATTTCGGACTTTGGACCTCAAGTGATCCGCCTACCTTGGCCTCCCAAAGTGCTGGGGTTACAGGCATGAGCCATCGTGTCCAGCCTATATTATAATTTCCAAATCAGTTCTAAATATAAGGCACTCTATGTGAACACCAGTTTTTATAAGTAGTCCCTTGAACTAAAAGAAAATCCTAAATTTGATTAGTTCTTTGCATGCACTCTCATTTAAAAAGTTCTCACGTATGATCTTCATGATAACGTTTGAGAAGCTCAGAAAGGTATTTCTCCATATTACAGATCAGAATTCAGAGTCCAAGAAGTTCAAGAATTCTTTTAAGGTTACATAGGTAGTAGGGGTCAAGCCAGAATTTTTCTAAATCCTAGTCCAATTCTTCACACTAATCTAGACAGTTGTTGCCAAAGTCTATACTGACCTGTGGTAATTAAGTCAAGTGCAGCAGGAACTCCGATGAGTCTTGGGAGAAGCTGGGTTCCTCTTGCACCAGGGAGAAGTCCCAGTGTAACTTCTGGTAAGCCAACTTGAGCCTATCAAGGATTGAAGGCATAAAGCCCATTAGAATGAGATGATATGTTCAGAGTCAAGGCAAGCATTTCTCTGGATTTCCTATATTCTCAAAAACATTGTTTCATTGAATTCAGCAAGATTTCTACAGGGCAAATTAGTGCACATCCTTTTCTTTAATTAACAGCATAAACAGAGCTGTGCCGTCCCTAAGTCTTCTTGCACATTTATTCTCTGACTCTGTTATGACCTATCTGAGCCAACAAAAATAATACTCTCCAGAAACAACTTTCTGGAGTCCTGCAAGAATTAGGAACCACAAGAAAGTGAAACGATAACCCACACAATGGGAGAGAATACTTACAAATTATATATCTGACAGAGGATTTTTATCTAAAATATATAAAGAACTTTTACAAATCAATAATAAAAGACAAGTAACCAGTTAAAAATGGGCAAAGGATCTGGATTGACATTTCTCCAAAGAAGAGATACAAATGGCCAGTGAGTACTTGAAAGATGCTCAATATCATCAGCCATCAGAGGAATACAAACAAAAACCACAAGATATCACTTTATACCCGCTAAGACAGCCATTTAAAAAAAGACACATAATAACAGGTATTGGAGAGGATGTGGAGAATACAGAATTCTCGGACATTGCTGGTGGGAATATAAAACCGAGTAGACACTTTGGAAAACAATTTGGCAGTTCCTTAAATGTTAAATGTAGAGTTACCATATGACCCATCAAATCCATTCCTAGGTATATACCCAAGAGAAATGAAAACATATGCCCACAAAAACCTTGTATACAAATTTTCATGGCACCATGGTTCATAAAAGCCAAAAAAGTAGAAGTAACCCAAATGTCCATCAGTGATTAGTGGAAAAATGAAAGGTGGTACATTCATACAATGGAACATTATTCAGGAATATAAATAAAGAACTGATTCATGCTACAACTTGGATGAACCTTGAAAACATGCTGCACAAAAAAAGCCAGTCACAAAAGACCACACATTGTATGATTTCATTTATATGAAATATCCAGAATAGGCAAATCTATAGAGACAGAAAGTAGATTAGTGGGTGCTTAGGATAGCAGGAGAAGGTGATGGAGGGTTACTGCTAAAGGATACCTGGTTTCTTTTTGGCGTGATAAAATGTTCTAAAATCTACTGTGATAATGGTTGCACAACTCTGAGAATATACTCATATACCATTGAATTGCACACTTTAAGTAAATTAATTGTATGGTGTGCAAATTATGTCTCAATAAGACTTTTTTTTTTTTTAATCAGACAGTAATCTCAGTCCAGACAAGAAGGTGAGCTTGAGTCCTTTATTACATTGCCTTTCTTGGCCATTCCATTTAAAACTGGCTAAGTGTCTGTTAGCCATTTATAGGTACAAGGGTGAGAGGGGGATACTTAAATGCAGGCTGCCATTTGGAACTGTGATTCCAGCAGTTCCAAAATATCGCACATATCTGAGGCCTCTCTTACACTAGGTTTTCCTAACAGTCAATCACCGTTCTTTCTACCACTGTCCATCTCTACATCTTGACTTATTGCTAGTAACTCAGATCTGCATTCAGAGTACAGGTTATGGTAAGAAGGACACAGAAAAGGATTACTTAGGACATATATGGGTATTTATTTATAAGCATTTATAAAAATTAAAACACAATTGGGAAATGATTAAATAAATTCTGGCATAGATATATGATCAAATATTATGTAGCCACCTATAATAGCATTTTTAAAGAATATTTACCAGAAGATTAACATGATTTCTCCTCAGAAGCCATGGAGGCCAGAAGGCATGAAATGACATAAGCAAAGTGCTGAAAGAAAACAATTGTCAGTCAAGAACTCTATATCCAGCAAAACTATCCTTTGAAAATGAAGGTAAAATTAACACATTGGCAGATAAAGAAAAACTGATTTTGTTGATAGTATATTTAGCCTATAAGAAATACTTCAGGCTGTAAGGAAAAGACATCAGGCAGTAACTTGAATTCACATGAAGAAATAAAGAACACTGATAAAGAGTAACTACACAGGTAAATATAAAAGACAGGAATAATGTATTTTTCATTTATGATTCCTCTTTTTCTTATGTGATTTAGGACCACTATGTAAAGCAATAATGATAAATCTATGTTAAGGGGTACATAATGTATAAAGATATAAATTGTGACAGTAATAGCATAAAGGGGCAAGTAATGAAGGCTACAGGGGAGCAAATTTTTTGTATATTATTAAAATTCAGTTAGCATTAATCTGAACTAGACTGTCATAAATTAAGATGTTAATTGTAATCACCAAATTAACCACCACTAAGAAAATAACTAAAAATATATATAGTAAAAGAAACAACAAGAAAGTTAAAAGAGTACGCTTTTCCATTTAACATAAATGAAAGCAGTCATAAAGGAATTGAACAACAACAACACCACACACACAAAAAAAACTAAAAAGCATAAAAAACAAATAGCAAAATGGCAGAAGTATGTTCTTCCTTATCAGTAAGTACATTAAATATAAGTGTATTAAGTTCTCTAATTAAAAGACAGGTTGGCAGAATAATGAATATTTAACAGTGGGTTAAATATTGTAGTATAAAATTAGAGTATAAACTCAATACAATAAAAGCCCAAATGTTGTGTGTGTGTGTGTGTGTGTGTGTGTGTGTGTGTGTGTGTGTGTATGTGTGTGTTTGGGATGGAGTCTCTCTCTGTTGCCCAGGCTGGAGTGCAGGGGCATGATCTCAGCTCGCTGCAACCTCTGCCTCCCAGGTTCAAGCGATTCTTCTGCCTCAGCCTCCAAAGTAGCTGGGACTACAGGTACACACCACCATGCCCAGCTAATTTTTGTAGTTTTTTTAGAGATGTGGTTTTACCATATTGGCCAGGGTGGTTTCAAACTCCTGACCTCATGATCTGCCCACCTTAGCCTCCCAAAATGCTGGGATTGCAGGCATGAGCCACTGAGCCCAGCCTGTAGTTTTTTTTTTTTTAAAGAAGGGTTTCAAAGGAAAAGGAAACTGTAATTTAAAAATTACACACAAAACAGACTAGAATGAAATAGAATATTAATAGTGATTATTTCTGAACTGTGAGTTTATGATGATTTTAGTTTACATCTGCATATTTTCTTATGTTTTCTAGTTTAATAGAATGATATTACTTTTATCATTAGAAAAATATATTAAGTACAAAAGTACTACAATTATACATACTGTGATACACAGTGGTATCACAGACCTCATCTGACATGCCTAATAGCCTAAATTAAACTATTTTCATTAATAAATATATTTACTAGTTTTGTGCTATTTTCCAATAGAAATTTCTCTTCTTAGGTACTGATAAGGGACCATGAAACAGAAATCTTTGAGTTATCAAATAAGTATTTAAATGTATACTTAGAAGTGACAGCCAACGTATTTAATACCTCATACTGCATGAGCACTGCATCAGTGAAAGTTGATATGGGTCATAGTACTGGAGAAGAGTCCTGGGGCTGTCTGTTGACTGGGAGTTCCCCTTTCACTGGTGGACCATAGGGGCCCTAGAGCTAAGGTGAAGGGAAGCAAGGAGACAGAGGGCTCAGAGTAGCAGGTGTTTACTAACGAGAATGGAAGTACAGTATTTTAACATAACAATTAGTACCACTGTATTGGTACATAACAGCTGAAGTGGTTAACCAGTAAGCTAACCATTCAAAATTATCACCTCTGGGCCAGGTGCAATGGCTCATGCCTGTAATCCCAGCACTTTGGGAAGTCAAGGAGGGTGGTCACCTGAGGTCAGGAGTTTGAGACCAGCCTGGCCAACATGGTGAAACCCCATCTGTACTAAAAATACAAAAGTTAGCCGGGCATGGTAGCGTGCCTATAGTCCCAGCTTCTCAGGAGGCTGAGACAGGAGAATCACTTGAACTTGGGAGGTGGAGGTTGCAGAAGCTCAGATCATACCACTGCCCTCCAGCCTGGCAGACAGAGCGAAACTCTGTCTCAAAATAAATAAATAAATAAATAAAATAAAAATCACCTCTGATACTTATAACTACATTTAGAGTTTGTCCTAAAGAAAAGCCTCACACACCAGCCACCATATAGAGCCTTGGTTGTTACCTCTGCATGGGCAATCCTGTAGTGACAGCCCAGGGCCAGCTCTAGTCCTCCTCCTAAAGCCATGCCTTGGATTGCTGCCACCACGGGCTTCCCATTTCTCTGTATTTCATCTACTACACTTCCCAGTGATAAGCCAAAGGTCCTAGGAGCGCTGAAGCCGTGAATATCAGCACCTAAGGGCACAAAGACAAGGAGGAAACAGAATTGAGAAATATCTGGGCATTGTTATATAATGATAAGTTACCTGACACTTTAAGTTTTTTAGTTTGTTTTATTTATTTCTTAATTTTTTTAGAGTTCCTGATAACTCCTAAGAAGTCTCAGCCTTCTTTGGGCCCTTACACTTCATCCTTGGCTGAAAACAAGTATCTTGGAGAATGTAGAATGCTATGAGAGGAAATCCTCAGATCTTTACCAGGAATTCTGTAATTTTCTAAAATCTGTTTTCCCATATAATAAGTAGTAACTCTATCTTTAAAAACATTAAAAATCTCAGGAAAGGGGAATAGGGATTCTCCTCCAAAGACCATTATTCTGAGATTGAGTCTGCCCCTCCCATTTTTGTATGTGTGATACTGTTAATCAACCCTATTCACAGCAATTTAGCTCCATAACTTTGTTAAGGGCATCAGTCATTACAATATAAAATATCAGGGTAACACATATGCATATTTGTGAGTTATGTGTTAGTCAACCGGCTTAGAATTATGTTTTTGTAATTGATTTTTATCTTCAATGAACATAGTATTTACTACTTTTCTTGATTATAAAAATAACATGTATTACAGCAAATTTGAAAAACACACAAAATTAAAAAGAACATGAAGATCACCCTAAACATCACCATACAGCCATAATTTAGTATTTGGGGGAATTCTTAGTTTTTTCCCTATGGGCAAACATCACCACCTGAGCTCCACCTTCTGTCAGATGAGTAGCAGCATTAGATTCTCACAGGAGCGTGAGCCGTATCGTGAACTGTGCATGTGAGGGATCTAGGTTGCACTCTCCTTATGAGAATCTAATGCCTGATGATCTGAGGTGGAAGGTTTCACCCCAAAACTATCCCTGCACCTCCACCCTCCCAGGCCCACACCCCCTACCCCCTACCCCTGTCTATGGAAAAACTGTCTTCTATGAAACCAGTCCCAGGTAACAAAAAGGTTGAGGATTGCTGATTTAGAGCATACTGTAGAATCATTTTTGTATTTTCCTATTTTCACGTACCATTTTACATAGTAAGCCTTTTCCTACAGCATTATCTATTCCTTGAAAACACTAAGCTTGGTACAAGTTTTAAATATTAAAGTAATTATTTTATATTTAGCCTATTCAGCTTTTTTTCCCTTTTTTTCTACGTGTTCTTTATCTAGCATCAATCCAGGAGTTATGCTTTTTTTTCTCACCAATTCATTATATTTCACTCTCTAGTCTAGTGTTTTGTTTTGTGTTTTCTATTCCTTTCGGTTCTAGAGAAACAAGATCAATTTCATTCTGAGTCTCAGGCCTATCATTCCTGTAGTTTTAGACTGAAATGTTTTTTTAGATAATAACAGAAATTAAGTTATTGGATAAATGCATCAAGCACTGTGCTAAGCAGTTTCATATACTGTCTCATTTAATTTTCACAACACCTAAGTTAAGCAGTATAATAATTCTCATTTTACAGGTAAGGGAGTTAATGCTTTGAGACAAGTGACTACTTCAGACATACAACTAATAACTGGTAGAATAGGGATTTGAACTTAGGCAATTTGACTACAAAGCCCACATTCTTAAAAGCTATACTACATTCTACTTAGAGCATAAGGTTAGTATTACTATTATCCCAATTTTTAAAAAAACCAAAGCACAATATTGTAGTGATTTCACTTTTTAATTATGTCAAAATCCAATTGATTTTTAGATATTGATTTTATATCCAGCAAACTCTACATTTTCTTATTAATTCGAACAATTTTTTAGATTATTTTGATTTTTCTACAAATATTATTATATCGTCTGAATAAAAGAAGTTTCTTCTTTTTCGATCTTTTTTTTTTTTTTTTTTTTTTTTTTGAGACGGAGTTTCCCTCTTGTTACCCAGGCTGGAGTGCAATGGCGCAATCTCGGCTCACCGCAACCTCCGCCTCCCGGGTTCAGGCAATTCTCCTGCCTCAGCCTCCTGAGTCGCTGGGATTACAGGCACGCACCACCATGCCCAGCTAATTTTTTGTATTTTTAGTAGAGACGGGGTTTCACCATGTTGACCAGGATGGTCTCGATCTCTTGACCTCGTGATCCACCCGCCTCGGCCTCCCAAAGTGCTGGGGTTACAGGCTTGAGCCACCGCGCCCGGCCCTCTTTTTCGATCTTTATACCTTTTGTTTCTTTTACTAGCTTTACTAAATTATCAAGGACTTCTAATACAATGTCAAAAGATATGATGAGAGCTGTCAGCCTTGTCTTGTTCCCTTCTCATAAGGAAAGCTTTCAATTCATTATTTTGTTTGTTTCCTGTAGGTTTTTCAAAATAAGGAAAAACATTTTGCCTGATTAAGACATTTTCTTTCTGTACCTCATTTACTAAGAATGTTTCTTTATAATGCATGTCAAATGTTATAGAATGTCTTTTGTACATCTCAACATAATCATATAATTTTTCTTTTTAATCTTTTAATGGGATGAATTTCATTAATCTTGTGTTCAACCAATCTGATATTTTTAGAACAAAAGTGATATACTTTTTGTATGTTGTTAGATTCAGCTTCACAATATGCTAAGATTATATTCAGGGGTACATGTGCATGTTTGTTACATTGCATAATGGTGAGGTTTGGGTTTTTGGTGTGCTTATCACCCAACCCAAACAGTAAACGTGCCACTTGGTAACTTTTCAACCTTCACCCCCACCACCTTGGCCTTTTGAAGGTCCTTATGTCTATGATTTCCCTCTGTATGTCCATGTGTTCTCATTGCTTAGCTCCTCCTTCTTTTCCCTGACAATTATTCCTTCATAATAGCTCCCACTTACAAGTGAGAATATGCAGTATTTGATTTTCTGTTTCTGACTAATTTTACCTAGGATAATGGCCAAAGTAAAGACATAATTTCATTTCTTTTTATGGTGGTGTAGTATACTACATTTTTCTTTATCGGACCATCCATTGATAGATCCTTAGGTTGATTCCATGACTTTGCTATCATTAACAGAGCTGCGATAAACATATGACTACAGGTATCTTTTGATACAATAATTTATTTTCCGTTGGCTAGATCCCCAGTAGTGGGATTGCTGGGTCAAATGATACTTCTGTTTTTAATTCTTTGAGAAATCTCCATACTGTTTTTCCATAAAGGTTTACTAATTTCCACTCCCACCAACAGTGTATAAGCATTCCCTTTTCTCTGTATCCTTGCCAATGTGTTGTTGTTTTACTTTTTAATAATGGCCATGCTAAGTGGTGTGAGATATCTCATTGCAGTTTTGATTTACATTTCTCTGGTGATTAGTGATGCTGAGCATTTTTTTCATATGTTTATTGGCTACTTGTATGCCTTGTTTTGGGTAATGTCTATGTCTTCTATCTACTTCAAAACAAAATTTTTAAGTATATATAACCAAAAGACTATGTCCACTTTTTAATGGGGTTAATTGGTTTTTCCTTGTTGAGTTGTTTGAGTTTCTTACAGATTCTGGATATTAGTCCTTTGTCAGATACATAGTTTGCAAATATTTTCTTCCATTCTGTAGGCTGTCTGTTTACTCTGCTATTTCTTTTGCTGTGCAGAAGCATGTCCTTTCCCATTGCATATTTTTGTCACCTTTGTTGAAGATCAGTTGGTGTAGGTATGTGGTCTTACTTCTGGGTTCTCTATTCTGTTCCATCCATTTTTGTATCAGTACCATGCTGCTTCGGTTACCATAGGCTTATAATATAATATGAAGTGAGGTAATGTGATGCTCCCAGCTTTGTTCTTTTTTCTTAGGATTGCTTTGGCTATTTAAGCTCTTTTTTGGTTCCTATTTAATTTTAGGACGTTTTTATAATTCTGTGAAAAATGACTGGTAATTTGATAGGAATTGGATTGAATCTGTATATTGTTTTGGGCAGTATGTCCATTTTAACAATATTGATTACTTCAATCCATGAGCATGGATGTTTTTCCATTTGTCTGTGTCATCTATCACTTCTTTCATCACTGTTTTGTAGTACCGCTTGTAGAGATCTTTCACCTCATTGGTTAAATGTATTCCTAGGTATTTTATTTTTTTGTGGCTATTGTAAATGGGACTGAGTTTTTTATTTGGTTCTCAGCTTGAATGTTATTGGTGTATAGCATCCGATTGATTTTTGTACATTGATTTTGTATTCTGAAACTTTACTGAGGTCATTTATCAAGTGTAATAGTCTTTTGGAGGAGTCTTTAGGGTTTTCTAGGTATAAGACCACGTTATCAGTGAACAGAGAAAATCTGACTTCCTCTTTTCCAATTTAGATGCCTTTTATTTCTTTCTGTTGACAAGGATGCTCATTCTCACCACTCCTAGTTAACATAGTACTTCCAGTACTTCTTTGTCTTGTTCCAGTTCTTAGGAGGAATGCTTTCACCTGTTCCTCATTCCATATGATGTTGGCTGTGGGTTTGTTGTATATGGCTTTTATTATTTTGAAGTATTTTTTGATGTCTAGTTTGTTGAGGGATTTTATCATGAAGGGATGTTGGATTTTACCAAATGTTTTTTGTGCATCTATTGAGGAGATCATGGATTTTGTTTTTTAATGCTGTTTATCTGGTGAATCACAGTTATTGAAGCATCTTAGAAATCCTGGAATAAAACCCATCTAATCTTGATGTAATATCTTTTTGATGTGCTACTGGATTTAGTTTGATAGTATGATGATTTTAGCATCTATGTTCATCAATGTTAGCCTTTAGGTTTATTTTTGTTTGTTTTTTCTCTTGTGTCCTTGTCTGATTTTGGTATTAAAGTGATAATGGTTTCATAGAATGCTTTAGAGAGGAATCTTTCCTCCTTGATTTTTCAGAATAATTTCAGTAAGATTGGTCCCAGCTCTTCTTTGCACATCTGGTAAAATTTGGCTGTGAATCTATCTGGTACTGAACTTTTTTTTGGTTGAAAAATTTTTTATTACTGATTCAATCTCATAACTCAATATCGGTCTGTTCA